GGGGGGCTTTAAGAGGAGGCTGGATGAACACCTTGCTGGGGTCGTTTGACCCAGTAGTCTTTCCTGCCATGGCAGGGGGTCAGACTAGATGATCTGCTCAGGTCCCTTCCAACCCTAGAAACTATGATACAAACTATGAAACAATCACTGCCCAGGTCTTATCTGTCCCACCCTCCGTGCTGGTCTTTGCCCTCGTCCCAGACTGACTTTTGCACTCGAGGAAAGTCAATTGCAAAACTCAGTTGCACTTGATTTTTGCAGTTGGCTGCAACCGCCTATCCCCTGCTCGCAGCCCCCCTTGGCACAGCCTACAGATCTGCAAAGCAGGCCCTCAGCCCTTTCTTGCAAGTCCTTAGTGCAGATATTAAAAAGGACAGGATCCAGGACTGCGGTACCTTCCCGTTAGACACCAAGCCGTTGAGGACTGCGCTTGGAGCACAACGATCCCCCTTGCAAGACTTCCACCTAGGCTGTTTCCTTAGCTCATTAGTGAGAGTCACCGGAGACGGGGTTGAAAGCCTTGCTAGAATCGCACCACAAATCAAGGTGCATCGTATACGAGGAAGGTCCTAGCGGTATGCATAGAGCGAGACGAGGCAGCAAACACTGGCTCTGCTGCCGGCCTGGCCTTTTGGACTCGTGGAACAGGGTCAAAGATCAACACGTTAATTAACAGCGGCAGAAGGAGCGCTGGAGGGGCCACGACAGCCCCGACCCAACCCGGACAGCAGGCCGAGGGATCCCAGCGGCCGGAAGGCAATGTGGCTGCAGCTGCTGAAGAGCCGACAGCGGCTCAGACCTGGCTGCGATGGACAGAGTCATCTCTGGCTGCTTGGGGGCATGACCCCATCACGCTCGCTCTCAGCAGACAAAGCAGTCCCGGCCAATAACGCAGAGGCTTCGTGCTTCCAAGGGGCAGGCATCCCCGGCGCAGGGGCTGGGCGGAAAATGTCAGAGGGAAAATGATCGTTAACATCTGGCGGCATCTCTACGAGTTGCTCTTTAGACATGCACGTAAAAAGACGAGCGGTCTGGTGCAGAGCCGCTCATTTTGGGTCAAAGCGAAGGCAGTACTTAGAGATATGAAAGCAAAATATAACACGGGGTGCAGGAGACTCAAGAGACAGCAAAGTGTGAAGTTGTGAGCCAACCCCCCCCCAATCTCACCAGTCTGAGCAACAGGGAGATCCCTTCCTGCCCCAGCACGGTGGGGCTGAGCCCGCGCACAGGGGCAAGACCCTCCAACCAGGACCCTGCGGGGCACACGGGGGGACGAGGGGCAAGGGTAGGCACTGAGGAGCTGCTCTGGCCACAGATGAGGCAGATCCTGGAGCAGGTGGGCTGCTGCATCGTGGGGCAGAGCGAGGAGCTGGTCCCTGCGGACAAGGTGCTGTACAGCCTGAGGGACGTCACGGCCACCGTGGACAGCCTGCCCCTCATCACAGGTATGGGGCAGACTGCACATGGCTGCGCCAGGCGAGGGGAGAGGCTGGGGCGGGGGCAGCGCTGGGCTCCCACACCCCGGGGCTGCCCTGGAGAAGGAGGCGTCTGGGCTCCAGGGCCTGAGCGACCGCCTCGGCCTGCAGCCTCCATCCTGAGCAAGAAGGCGGCGGAGAACATCTCTGCCCTGGTGCTGGACGTGAAGTTCGGCAGCGCCGCCCTGTACCCCACCCTGGAGAGTGCCCGGCCCCTGGCCCAGAGCCTGGTGAGTCCCTGGCAGCAGGGGGGGCCCCCCCAGCACGCTCCGGGTCCCCCCCACCCAGGCACCAGCCGCTCTCCTCCACCTCACAGGTGTCAGTGGGCAGCCAGCTGGGCATCAACACCACGGCCGTGCTCAGCGAGATGGACGCGCCCCTGGGGCAGAGCGTGGGCCACTCGCTGGAGGTGCTGGAGGCGCTGGAGTGTCTGCACGGCGGGGGCCCCGCGGACCTGCGTGAGCTGGTCACCACCCTAGGTGCGGCCCCTTCAGCCCAGCTGCTGTCACCCCCTGCCCTTGCCCCCGGGGCGGCAGCAGCGGTGCCCAGCCTCACTCTCCCCGCCCAGGGGGCTGCCTGCTGTGGCAGTGCGGCGCAGCCGAGTCCGCGGAGGCGGGCTCCGGCAGCATCGCAGCAGCGCTGGACGACGGCTCGGCGCTGCGCACCTTCCAGGCCATGCTGCAGGCGCAGGGCGTGGCGCCCAGCGCGGCCCAGGCCCTGTGCACGGGCACAGAGGAGCAACGCTACCAGGTGCTCGGCCGGGCCCGCACCCAGGAGGAGCTGCTTGCACCCCAGGACGGTAGGCAGGGGCCGGGGGGGGGGCGAGTCCCGCCAGCTCCTGGGGCCCAGGCTGCAGCTCAGCACCACGGGGAGTGCCAAGAGCTGCACCGGGCAGGGGGCTGGAGCCTGGCACAGCCCCGGGCTGGCAGCACACCCCCACCCGCTATCCCAGCCGTGTTACTGGCAGAAATGGACATGCACACGTGTGCTGACACGCATCCTGTCGCATACACGGGCATGCACCGCTACAATGCATGTGTTGTGCATGCACATCTGCACCCATGCAGTCATGCAGGTGTGCACTTACGCACAGATGAAGTCACGCACGCACGCACGCACACCTGTGTAGGCATGCACGCACGCACGCATGCCGCGCACACGTATACAGGCTCGTGTACGCATGCACGCTCCCCGGCCTCCCTGGACACACACCCTCAGCCCCGTCACGGCTCCGTGGTCCAGCCTCCCCTTACCCTGCCCCTGGCTGCTGGGCCGAGGTCAGTCCCACGAAGGCCTCCAGCCCTTTCTCCCACCCCCCCACCCA